CGAATCAAAACGTTAAAGAATAACCTGTTTGTACTGAGTTCAGCCAACATGTTGTTACTCTGTTTCGATGATATTCTCTCGTTATATTTACTACTCACATTTTGGCTAAAGATTAATTAGTTTTCACTTCTTCGATTCGGATCTAATAGCGCTATCCAGCAGATCTGCTATCACAGGACTCTCTGCCGGACATCGTTGTTGCGTCAGCTACAGCAACGTCAGTATTATTTTTATGGTAATCTACGTAAAAACACATGCGCCTTTTTCAAGTGCAGGAAAGTCTGCTTACTTTCAATCGAGAGGGTGTATTTAGCGTTACCAACAGACTTAGAAAACACCTAAATACGAAATTTTGTTTGATAGATACAGCTCGTCACCTTAGCACCAACCTAACTATTGTTGATTCTACCACACTAAGTAACGCTCAATTTTTCACCAAGCCAAAACCTGACCTGATTGCTAGCCGAGCGCCTACTGCCTACCACAGGAAGTTCCGGCTTTGACCTCCGTTGGCTTTGGTCGCAAAATGGCCCCCACCCGACACTATCGACCGACATCGTGTGCCTGCCACAACACGCGCGATGCTTTGATCGCTGGTATCAGATATTTGATGGCAATTTATCTACGTGACTTACGCCACTCATGGTCCTTAACACAGCAGCACAGAAAAGAATATGTTCTCGACCAATGCACCATTAGATAAGAACTAAGCGGTTCGAAATCTTGCTGCGAGTGTAACAGAATTAGAATGACATGTAGTAACTGCTGTAAACAATTTCACTCTAGATGCGGTAGATTGTGTGGCTGAAGTGAAAGAACGGTATGCACACCGGACTCCAAATGGCTCTGTTTAGAGTGGATAATAAACTAACTCGTAAGGTGCATCTTCCTGTTAGCACACAATGATTGCGCAGCTTGCTACGGCTTGTCTACATGCCTCATGGGAACAGCCAGCAGCAGGTGTAAGCATAACCCTATGTTTAAGCTAGGTTTAAACATGGTTGGCCACATGTAACGCATGATTCAGAGCGTACAACCAAGCACGAGAACAAGCATACATGCAAGCGAGCATTGTCCTTCCAACCCGACGACACCGAGCTTGCTGAGTATGGTTTTCCTTTAAATGTAGCTAGGGTCCATGATGTCAATTTGCCTTTGGATTTACACAACCTGACAGAAACAGTGACAAAAGACGTATCCGTCGCCGTTGCATGCAGACCCAATGCAACGTCAGCGGACACAACAACAATTTCTCCAAACATTCTTCGAAATTACTCGAATAACAATATGCCTCGGAAGAGGCTGCCTGTCAGGCCATCACATAAAGCTAGCACTTTCTAACCGAACTTTGTGCTAACTAGAAATACATTAATGTAGTGATGAAAATGGGTTCTAACGTCTCTAAGTCAAAGGCAAAATCTTTAAATTCGAAACACTGGATGACCTGAAACAACGGGAATCCATATGTCACGCGATGGGAATGCAGGCGAATGAGCCAATATTCGTTCGCATTGTCCGCTAGCTAAAAGTAGTTTACATTGAACAGTAATGCGATAAGAGAGAAGCGCGTCGAGTTCCATGTCCGTGTCATCATCATTAGCTTGATTCCAGGCTTCCTGCAGCAAAATAGTGTTCACGCAAGAATATTCATGACATGGTCTCAAACATTAGAGGTCGTCTCTCTTTCGATGTATCATTCGGAATTTGGCGTCGAGTAGAAGATTCAGACACAGGATACTGTTCTTTTCCTCCAGAGTGCAACCCACAATTTTCCAATTTGTTTTGTGTCAAATTCGTTTTTCCCTTTTTTATTCTTATTATTCGATATGTATGATACGACCAGTGCTCGGTCACTAATTTATTTGCATTAATCTGCGCATACCTCTCGAAGCATCGCCATTGCAAAGGGACATGCTACTAATTGCATGACAACTATTCCAACAGTTAAAACAAATGGTTTCCGATTTTGTGTAGTAAGGCCTCTGCATTTGTAGCGCCCTTTTATAGGAATTATGGAGTACAACCAAATGTGAGGACGCCGCAGCTTTATCCCTCAAATATAGTGACAGTGTCCACTGACTAGTGGGTGAGTTAATAAGACCGTCATTATCAATCTACAAGTTTGGATTAAGTGCTGCTAAGCATAATTTGATATGCAGTCAAAGTTTAATGATCTACGCATACTTAACTTTAAGAAGACGTTTTAAATCTTAATGCACAAAAAGCATTGGTAATTACGCAATTGTTGGCTTATCCAGCGTCACCTTTACTCCAGCAGCTGTTGCAAGCAAATGACAGTCCCCCGAGAGTACACTGCCCCTGGAATCTACATGATCTGCCCAAAAGTACTGAAAACCCTTTCTCCCACCATAGCACTACCACTTGCGGCCATTTCTTAGGGTTCGGTTAACTTCCATACAATCTTATCTGAGTGGAAAACTGGAATTATTGCTCGAATATACAAAGGAGGTTAGCGAACGGATCCTGCTAACTACCGACCTATTACACTCTTTCCTGTTTTATCAAAAGTGATGGAATCGGTAATGGCAGATGAACTGACGCGATACTTTGCAAGTCAACAAATAATTTTTAATTCCCAACGTGGTTTCAGACGCTGACGATCTTGTCTCATCAATTTACTGATTACACGGGACTCATGGACTAGGGCGGCTGATGAAGGTTTCCATATAGATGTGATTTACTTGGACTTTTTTAAAGCATTCGACAGGGTGAAGCACTGCTTTTCCCTCCAAAACTTTGCTTCCTTCGCTATCAACGGTTCCCTGCTCACCTGGTTAGAAGACTAATTACACGAGAGAGCAATCAAAGTAAGAGTAGCCGACCCTCAATCTGGAAGTCTGTGCGTCTCCAGGGGTATACCACCGAGATCCGTCCTCGGCCCGCTACTGTTTTTAGTCTACAATAATGAGCTTTCAGCAGGCATTCTATCTCCGATGCAAATATTTGCAGAAGATGCTAAAATATAGAGAGCAATTCACTCAGCATCCGATCGTGTCTACCTCCAGGAAGATCCGACTCGGATTGACGAATGGGCAGAAAGGAACCAGCTCCCACTGAACCCTGCAAAGTGCCACCTGCTGACAGTGCTCAGCAGTTTCGTCAACACTTAGGGCAACAGGTCCTGCAACACGTGACTAATGAACGCGACTTAGGTATAATCGTGCAAGAGAGTCTTGACAATTTGCTCCAATGTTCGAAAGCAGCAAGTGTGCCGAACTTGAACTGGAGACTTTTGAGACGAGCTCTCGAAACTTTGAGCGACGGCTAGTACCACTACTGAAGAACTCCTATATTCGTCCTCACATTGAATATGCCATTCAGGCCTGGTGTCCATGGTTAAAACGAGACATTCGCCTATTGGAACAACCCCAAAGAAGTGCCACAAAGGCAACGCATGGACTATCCGGTATAAGTTACGAACTGCGTCTTTGTGTACTCGGTGTGTGCTCATTAGAATACCAACAGCTTCGAGGATACCTTACTCTCACATACCGGATACTAACTGAAATCGAGCATCCATGTTCATCACTGTTGACTCTAGCCCCTGACAAACAAAGTCGATGCAACCACCTGGAACTAATGACACAACACTCCCATTTAAATAGTAGAAAGTATTTTTACTCACTTAGAATCTGTTCTCACTGGAATGCATTACCAAAATATGTGGTTAACGGACCAGACATGACGACATTCAGAAGACACATTAGCTTTCACCTTAGTGATAAGCGCTACACAATAGTTTGATAAGGTGCAATGGTTTAACCACTGATACTTCAAGTTCCACGTATGAACGTCTTTATTTTGATTTTATTTGCAAAGCAATCCTGTGGGTCTTGTTAAGTTATACTTTTTATCCCATCATACACTATTGAACTATTGAACTATTGGGATCCATGGATCTGACATATAAGAGTTCGTCATCGCCACACCCAAAAATAAGTACAGGCTGATTTTGCAATATTCAGCACATTTTACGCAAAACACGCATCCCACGGTTCGTTGCTGAGAACAGATAAACTTTCCTGCACGCACACTAAGTATATAGTTGCATACTGGTTATTGTTAATGGTACTAAAGAGACAATACAAAATGCATGCATCTACCAGTTTTCGTCTTCTTACCGTGCTTTTCAAATTTATGAAGGGAACTAACTGCTTTAAATTATTAACATCCCTGTACCAAACTTTCAAGGAATTTGCTCTGTGTGCTCAACTTCATTGTAACTTGGATTCGGCTTTTGGTATCTTAGTTTGCATGGAAGCAATTTTTTGTTTGAACTTGTGTTCGAATTGTTCTTAATGATCTTTAGCAAGCTAAGGTTCAACGTCTAATTGACGGTGGTGATCTTTGGAAGTTCGCTGCATATACCTGCATACCTTGATCACTAGTTATTTAATTCTTAACCTACTTCAATGATTCGTGCAGGATATGTCCACTTAATGACATTTATCAGAACACGTTGTGAGTAATATGTAAAGGCAATTGTTAGGTTATATTTCGGTTTTGAGAAATGGCATCCTTAGGCAATCTTTTTATGTTAGGTTAGAAACATTACAAAACAAACGCATTTGTTTATTATTCTCGAATATTTCCGCATGAATGTCTTCCGGATCGCGTTCTATACGTATTTCAGTATGTTAGTTAACCAAACGTACATCAAGAGTAATTTTAGACTGTTTGCGTTTAACTCGGCCTGTGTGTATGTAACTAAATACAGGGTTTGTTTTCCGGCTACTGGCAAATTCAATAATTGGTTAAAACGGCAGCGTTGGTTTGCAACACATGCTGCGCAATTATGAGGTGAACTTAGCAGCTCCCTTGGATTTCTCGTGCAGCATTGTGGCACGCATCAAAAGTTTGAGAACATGCCATGTTACATTTTTTGATAAACTGCACAATAGCACATCTGCTCGGCCCATTTTTGGTAACATGTGTGATATAAAAATGAACCAATCAAATGACAAAGCACGAAGAAAGAACACTGTGAGTTGGCCTTCGTGCTAACAGAGGAGCATTATTTTACTTCCAGCTAGTGTAGAAATGGTGACCCTAATGAGTGCAGTATTTGTGCTTCTACAACATGTGGCTATTTTTCTTATTATTTCGGTTGATTGTGGTAAGTATTGCTCGATTTGCATAAAACCAGTAAAGCGACACATTATCGTGTTCCCCTAATTTTTTTATGAAACAGGTATAAGACAAACGAATAGTAATCTAATGTTTGCGAGATTACAATAGCTTATTCTAACATGTGCATTGGTGAAAGATGGTAATACTTGTTGTGGAATTAGTTTGAAATCAGCTAATCATATTTTAACCATTGACATTTATTTCTAAAGACTAGGTCTTTAATTCGTTTCTCATTTTGGGCAGCAAAATGTTTTGCTTTCCTTAAGGTTGATTAATATTTACTCTGCTTTGACAGAGAGGAGACAACGCCACATGTAAGACGGCCAGATATATATAAAACAGCCGATCCAGGCACCAATTGAGAGGCGCTTAAAGCAACTCCCAGTTTTTCTTGAGACAGTGGTATAGTTATATTATTATACCAGAATATATAATAAGCAAAATGTATTAAATTGGTTTTGCTGATGGTTGATAGGCTGCTACACATCAGTGAAGTAATCAAAGGTATTCTTTTTGCAAGTTTGCTTTAAAATTTTTCAAACCAACTCATTGGGGGTGTTGCAAAAATTAAGTCAAATATAATTACCGCTTTTACTTACAGCCAAAGATTATTCATATTTCGGAGCCCCTACACTGGATGAAATATGTAAGCAACTTTACTTTTTGCTTTGTTTTAATGATACAACAATATTAGACAACACTATTTATTCAGCTAACGTATATGATATACGTAGGCACTACATTTGCTATTACCTACAGAACACAGAACGATTGCCATCATTGTTTCATAACATCCGTTATTCTACATTTCGCATAGGATTTGTTTATGATGTCAAGAAGATCCTAATTTATATTTCGACTCTTGTCAATATACATCAAGTAACATGTCTGTTTATTTCGGAATTCGAATAGTTGAAATGAAAATATTTGTTCCCATCAAATTCAATAGACAACTGTCCTAACATAAGAAAAGTTTCATATGTTACACTTCATATGTTACCTTAGCCGTTAGGATAAAAAAATAACCTTGATGATAAAGGTAGGATTTTAATGCTGATATTTGCGCACGTTCTAAGTAATTTTCACCCGCATAAAGTATAATAAACCATATGGTCCTAAACAGCCATTTGTATCTTGTGTTCATGGAGCCAATGCTTCACTTGGGTAAGACAACGCAAATATTGCACACTAACGTTTGCAAAGACTAGTGTATGAACTAAAACTGCAATGATCTTAATTGTTTAACATCTACATTCGGAATTTCCTTGGTCGCGAAATCAAAATAATTTTAATTCCTAAATCTAGGGGGGTAAGTTAATATGTGATACAATAACAAATACGCAGCCTATTTAAGCCACATCAAAGAAATTCCTTGAGTACCTTAGCTGTTGATCAGAAAAACCAGAAACCTTTTCCTCTAGTGAAACAATGTTCTGATGGGTGTTTGTGATAAAATCAATGTTATATATCAGCAAGTCTTATTCGCAGTCTAGAATAAGTGTTTTAAATCTTCATTAATCGACGATTGGGGGTTTTCTTGTTTAAAGCGTCGAATTTCCCGCATTAACTTGAACAGCAAAGAAGGCAATTGATGCAAGATGGCACCATTTCCTGCCTTCTGTTCACCTGAAAACAAACAACCTAGCAAGCTACAATGTGACTCAAAAGGAATCAATACTTTAAAATATGAGGTCGCATGCGCGCGAAGTGAACATCGGCTGCAGATTGAGAGGGATTATTGACTCCTAAGTAGTTTGAGTGTAAAGGACAGTTGCTTCTGGACGCACAATGTTGGAGTATGCTTTTTTATGGACACAGCCTCGGAAAACTTGAGAACTGATGTTTTTGTTACGACCGATAAGACTAAAGTCTGAGTTGGGGCCCACCTGATGACACATTTCCGTCAGGTGTTTGGCAATCCAAGATTCATGTATACTGTTCGTCAACAAATGTCTCGATTGCGGCTGCCTTGTCAAGGTTACCATACGCATCGGAACGTGTTCCCCTATCCGCTTACGCAAGCAACGGCCTGGTCGGCAAGCGTAAGTGTTTCCACAGTTAGTAACAAATGCATGGATACAGTGCCTGATGGCGGAAATCAGCATAGTAGGTCTGTGCCACGTTATCATTTGATGTGTTGTCTGTTTGCAAATAAACAGAGGCACGAAATGGTACCACTGCAACACGTGTCTTTCTATTGCGCTATTGAAGTTTTACTTCTTGTCAATTTGAAGCATTCTGGAGCTACTTCGGACCATATTACGCTACAGCCTTATTTCAAACACAAATTAAATTCACGCGGACAACCGGGTGCTCGTGTTGATGCTCCGTTTGAACTCTATATTTAACGTTTTCCACTAGTTCCTCTGCGACCGCATAAATAATGCAACTCTACAAATATTTTGTCATTTGAATCAGTTAAAATATCACGTTTCCAAATGTACGCTACCAATCCTTTTACTATCCACATTGCTCCCTTCCCGCTGGGGCGTTAGGTTTCAACAGCATTACCTCCGCATCTAGCAATTTATCATGTATAATCCACCATTTCGTTAACCTGCGTTATCTTTACTTAAGTAGCTTTTGTTCCGTAATTATGCTATTCCAATACGCTGGTAGACTGTGTTCCTGATTTTATGTATTATGACTTTACGGACGATGATGCTGCGATAAAAGTAAAAAACTCGTGGTTTTATTAATATGAACCCAATTATTACCCACAAAATGGATCGCATATATAATCCGATTTTATAGAGCACTAGTAGGGCTGTCAGTAGTTATGGCCAGCGAGACGGTCACTGGCGAACATAGTCCGATAATGGTAGATATGTTATTTTTCGCAGGGATAAAAATACCGTTTGTCTTTGGTAGTTATTTTATATAGATATTTTTGTGGATGTAAATTGCTGACGTCTGACCAAGGCATTTAAGCTTGCAAGAATATGCATTGGTTATTTTAATAGTAAGAGCACGTAAAAAGTACATATCTACTGTAATTCTTCCTGGACAATTTACTTTTAGATAGCACGACTGCACTGTGATCCAAAGCAATTTCTAAGTAACCAGAGGGATTAATAACCAACTATTAACTTTATCCCTCGGTTACGTTAATTCCTCCTCATTATACACGTTAGCTAGAAGTTTAAAACACCTCAGCTAATGTGTCGCAACACGTAAAAAGAACAGAAATACAGCAGTTACATGCCAACTGAGCTAACAGCAACAGTTGAGCATTGTTCCGGAAAGCCACCAGCCGGCTACTACACAAGAATAAACATTATTCTGCAAAATTATATTACGCTAGCAAATGAGATCGTGGTAGGAGGGGGCTAAAAGGGATGAGGAGGGGCGAAGAAACTCACAGCAGGAACGCCACTGAGGTCAGCTCCTAGCCATATCAGATGTGTATATAGCTAAACGTGTTCATCGTCTTTGGGACGCCAACCAGGGAGCTGAGACGCTCCAACCGAGGACAGCTTCAAAGTGAGTGACTTCATTCCACTCGACAAATTCATCACTTAGCCACCTCTCCTCTTCTTTCAACCACACCCTCAACAAACAAACTACGCGCGTCGGGGGAGTCGGTAGGCTGGCATGCGCAACACAAGCCGAGCCATCGGATCCTGGTGCATAAAATAACGGTGCTGAGCGGTTTCAGTTAATTACCCTGTGCAATAAACAAGGTGGCGAACACGCTCGGTGCTCACGCTGTGTACCCGCCAAATGTGAGCTAAATTGCCAAGGCATCGGTGGTCTAACTTAACTAGGCTCTTTATGTCCGCTGATCTAATAGATCAGCCTTCGCAACCGTACAGTAAGGTGGAATGCACCGCTGAATTATACACTCTACCCGTCAGGGCGTTAGTGATATCGCGCCGCCGATAAAGGTGGGGAAGACTAGAAAAAGCACTTTGATCTTCTGATATTTGCTTCGTGATCTCATCTTCAATCCCACGGACGCTGATATAACTTTCCAGGTAGTAGAATTTCTCAACAACTTCTAGCTGATCGCCACCAAGGGTCAGCGCGGGAGGCGACCCCTGCCAATTTTCGAGGAAGGCTTTGCACTTCAAGGGTGCTAAGCAAAGCCCGAAGCAGCTGACAGCTAGTGCTAATCTGTCCATTGAGCTTAGGTCAATTACTGCATTGGGATTTACTTATGCTTATGATATGACACGATTGATGTTTTACTGGAATTTTGCGGCACATAGCGGACGGAATACCATCTCGTACATTGGAACAATGCAAACCGAGTATAAGTGTATATGTACGGTTTCCTCTTAAATAATAACATGTAATTGGAGATTTCTAGCAATTTCGAATAAAGCGCAAACGTCTTGGCCGGTCATGGGTTAGTTAACGGTATCCTAAACATGTGTAAAGAATGTCTGTTTAAAATTTAAGTGAATAATTTTTATATACTTCACTATTTGTTAAACAGCATACATACTTCATCTCGTGAAAATAGTTGATGGACGTCTGCAAGAAATCTAGGATGCAGTGTGCGCAATTATATCAAATCGATTGCCTAAAGGTTACATATCGCAGCATAAACACTAGTCAATTTACCTTATGGGATTATGCCATGTCTGCCGTCCGGAAGCGATCACATCAGTGCATACAGGATGGCGAGCGATCAGGGGACAGGAAGATTATTAGAATCTCAGGTCCGATGTTAACACGAATTGTAATTTGTCAGAAATGATTACGGTATTCTTTCAGGTATATAAATATGGCTTCGTTCGACTGTGCAACAGCCATGACTACATGCATTGGCTGCGAGCACACAGATTGAAGACAGATACCCGGCAACAATATTTGTGTGCGCACATACATGGTGAAATTTTTAAAACAGGCATTATAAACTTTTTAATCATCTGTCTTCTTGATGATGGACAAACGTAACTTCGTCCTCCAGTTGCAGAAACTACTCATGTTTGTCAACCTGGGTTATAGAGCAATCTCAAGGTGCTACAGACAAGGTAATAGAGGAAAACAAACATGATCAAGCATCTGCGCATTCGCTCTTACTAACTATGTTAGATGCAGTTAGACCAATTGACCATTGGTGCAGTGTTTCATAAATTCCGTGAAACGTAAGCTGTTGAGAACATATACCTAAATATGAAGTAGAAAGCGGCTTTGGTAGACTGACCATGGTGTTTGTATTGCATTACATGTGAAGTATTCAAAATGAAACCAAAATTTTGAAATATCGCGGCAACCGGCCGAGTAAGCGCGCTGCAGATACTATGTGTATGTAGAGGCCTGTCTAGATAATAAAGTGGTTCAATACATTTCACTCTGACTGTTATTTGGGGTGCTACAGCCGCTAAAATGTGCACGTGCGCAAGCTGCTCATCGGACTAGTGCCAAAGGGATAATGAAAGAGGTTAAAAAGCAACGCGTGTGTATGAACGTTTACTACATAATTGGCAAACCCTTCACAGAGACTTTTCAGTTGCTTAGCTAAGCATACGAGGCGGATTGTATGAGATTCGCGCAGTGCTGTAACTAATGTAAGTGTTTTAAAAGCGGTAGGATGTGGGACGGTGCCGATCCGAAGACAGAACGACCTTTCACAACAACAGATGATGAGAATGTCGGGGTTACCTTGCTGATTGAGGTTGCTGACAAACTAAGCATCAGCATAGGAGCATACTATCAAATTCTAGCGCGTTTGTGGGATGCCGTGCGCGGGAAGAGGCCTAAACTATGCGAAAACCGGACTTGCAGGTTGCACCATGGCAATGCGCCGGCTAACGCTTCGCTCACTGTCGACAGTTATCTACGTAAACAAAGCCCTCCCGTAGCGTCACATTCTACGTTTTTCTCCGGACGGTGCACGTGCGTATGCTTTCTTGCTTCCCAAACTTAAAACCATGTCGAAAATACCAAACCATAGATGATATTCAAGTTAATGTGGCAAAAAAACATAGGCGCTATCCCAGCAAATGGATTCCACGGGACTAACCATAAATTAAAACGAAGTTGTGAATAATGTATTGCCAGGAAGCTGGACTAGTTTGATGGTGGAACTACTTAAGATATTGCGCAATGCGTAAATAAAGAAGTAATAACAATAGTTAGGCTTTTTTCCACACCCTTCCCCCATAGAAGACCAGCGTCATTTACATGATAATAAGTCTATATATAGATGGCCAGAATTTCATAATGACCGTTTGTTTGCGCTTTGTCGTCCGTTGACTTGTACCGGTTGGAAAATGAAATGGTATGTGACATTGCGCCGTCAGATGGCTATTTAAAAAGGCTAATGTTGGGGGAAGAGACAACGTAATTCGGGGGAACATTCCACGGCTGACACATTTTAAGAAGGATACATTTACACTAGCCGTCCACCTGGATAAGTACTTTAGTTAACATTAACTAATGTATTCTTTGATTAGAGTTGTTATTCAGTCCCAGTAGCGAATGGCAAATGTGCTTTTACAGCGAATGTACTGTATGCAATTTCAAAATAGTCACCCTCCCGAATTTTTTAGTTTCTGGATAATATGGTGTAATTACCTTTTTGCATCTACAGGATCTGTATAATCTTACTAAAGTCCCCTAGCACACGCCCATGTCGACCGCTGTACATTCTCAGGGGCTTCAGTCTACTCTGGTAGGTCAAATGAAAGAGGCTAGTATGTTCCTTGGATCCCTGCTTAAAGATGTTCATGAGTAGCCAGATCTCGTTCCTGCCACTGGTGCCACATCTGGATAGCGTATTCAATGTGCAGTTGTACATGGGCGTTCTGCATTCGTTGGATGATTGTGGGGACAAACTGACCAAACTCTCTGCAAACCAGACGGACGTGTTAGCTACTGATTTGCTGCATCTTCTTCGCTTGGTTCAAGCAGCCGCGATCCTCCTATACCAGCATCGCAAGCTCGAGCTCCAGAGCGCTTTTATGAGGGTTTATTCTCCAAACTTGTTAACGCTCACCGGCTGCTGAATCAGGGATTCTACCTAAGCGTAATCGTGTAGAACTGAAGTAGTTTCCTCGTTGACTCTTCATGAAAGCAATCTAGGTTATATTGAAAGAAATCCTGATCGATGCCGCTATTATTGGCTCGCCATATTTGAACCTAATAGGATGAGAGCACCTCGTTGATTAACAGCAGGAGTAAGTGCGTTCGAAGCATAGAGTCTTGTGGAACACCGCGTTTCAAAGTCGGGTTGGTGAGCGATTCCATCGCACTGGCTTACTTGTTTTAATGCGCACTTTGAAGAGTTTGGACCGATCCTTGCTTGCATTAACTCCTAGCAGACTGTGAACTAGTTTGGTTGTGTGTACGCCGCTTGTAATATTTGAACAATGGTTTATTTTCTGGGCCATTAGTGTCATTTTGCTTACCGGGTTAACAGGCCTCCTCTTCAGATCTGGAGCATCGTTTACTGGGTAGGTCTGTCTTAAAACATTGCTATGCTCACCTCAACCGCGGTAAATTAGGTGGCCACTACATCAGCAACCTTAGCTAGTAGTTAGTAATACTAATAAAATAAAAACAGTGCGCATTTACTTAGGTTGTTCGGCGTGCATTCTATGTAAACCTAGAAAGAATCCGGCTAACATTTTAGTTATTTTGCAAGGTTGACTTTTGATGTGACGCACTGTACATGGAAAATCTATAACCAATTGTAACACAGTATACCTCCGTAAACAAGTTGGCTAAAAGAACCACATATATCTTTAGCCTGAGGCAAGTTATCGTGCCCGCCGAACAAATATTAATAAATCGTAGACTGACCCATCAGCAGTTGTTCTCTTATTGCTGAAATTGAGTACAAGCTCAAACAAATCATAGCGGTCTGGTACGATTGTAAGGTTTTGCTTTTAACAATTTGCCTTCTGTCCCTGTCGAATGCGTCTGTATGCCCGTGAAACGGTTCACACGATGATTTGCCAGACGCAGTTTTGTAACCGGACGTATACGTTGCACCTTAAGGAACGTGCCAAGCGAATGACTGGGGTATTCTGTAGGAATATCTACATTACCCTGCTCTACAAAACGCATTTTTTCCATTGGTGAGAGCTTGCTCTGAAAACTATATTTCTGGGGTAAAAATGCTTTTTGGTTAGCGTTTTGATGTACAACAGACGTCACGGCGATACCACCTGTAAGCCAACACAAGGTTTCCTCCCATACCGGTGCAGGTGCTCTAAGGTCGATCAGTATGAATTGCTTGACACAGATAATTGGCTCAAGATAAACGAGCTTTACTTAACTTACTGCATAGGAACCTATTATTTCTTAAATCGCCTTTTCGTACTGACGAATGCAGTGCCAGTATTAGTTAACATGTCTAATATACAAACACGTTACACAGGCATTTGTGACTACGTAGTTTCACGACATTCTAAAATCCTTTCCTTCTACAAAATATATTTATATCAATTCGTGAGATATAGTGGCAATCATCCATTCAAAGATAATTAGCCTCATTACCTAGTATCCGTTTGATGTCTTGAAAATAATGGAAATTTCCTTGCAAATGCATAGCTTGGTGTTAATTGATGAGGATAAATTCAAACCAAATATAGTGCATATACTTTTCGTAATAATCCTCCTATTAGTCAACATGGCTATAGCAGCAAGTTGTTTGGCAAATGATGATTTTGAACATGGAAAAACTAGGAGTTTACGATAGATCACTGTCTGATAGACTGCACGATAGTTGTGAAATATATCAAAGTTTAGTTTGTGATCAATGCAAAACGGGAGGCACAATAACTACATATTTATTATTAGAATTAAACAGTGTATACATGTAGACCTTGCTACTAGTCTAGTTGATTTCGCAGAATGAATTAATGGATCACCATCAATCAATTCTACCTAGAAACAATGCGGATGTTTATGGAAGTTCTCTAAAAGCATCTTTGTGAATTATAGTTTTGTATTCTTATCATGAGCACTAAATCTTTTAGCGATACGAAGTGATATTGCACAAGAACTTTCTGGGTAAGCACGTTAAAATCCCTCAGTCAACTCTCATTGCATCTTCACTTCTCCTGGTTGCATTTTCATTAATTCGTGGAAATATTCCCTGGTTCTGTACTTTTAAAACAGCGGTAATGGTGACTGGCTTTGCGTATGAGAATGGCAAGCGAATTTTGTGGGATGACGCAGACGAAGACAGAGGAAATTTGAAATATGCCATGATGTATGCTTCTATATACAGAACAGTGAGTGCAGTTAAGAGTTTATCAAGATAGATAAATAAATGCATAGCTTGATGATATATACGGATAATTATTTCTTCATTTATGGCAGTATGTAAAAGTCTGCTGTACTACAAATCAATGACACAATGTTCGCATACTTTCTACACAAGTCTGCTTTATCCCAAAGTTTTTCCACAAGATAATATTCAGAAAAGATTAAATTATGCGGCTCATGTACTACGGATATAACCATGTCATTTAAAGTAAATATATAGGGTTATTTTATTTATACAGTTATGAGTAAACGAATTTGCTTACCCGATTGAACATAACGGAATGGAAGCGTACATAATAAAAATGCCTTTACTCTGAGGCCCTTAAATATACTAGCTTGAACCAAAGTGATATCCGCCGATCTGGTATACATGATCTACGTCAAATCTTTTGGATACTGCTTGACGAAACGTGGGATGATAGCAATTCGGCTACAATCTCCAGATCCGTGCACAATCTCGCAAAATTTTAGGTATGTTATTCGAAAGAGCAATTAGTGTTGAATCATTTAAACCTATTACAAATGTGTGGGTGCAGACGTGATTTTGTTTAACTCTAAGCAATTCTGTCCGCACGATCCAATGGTGTACTACACAAATTCTTGCTAATTAAATTCTGGTACGCAAGCCGTAAATCGCATGATCTGGTGAATGTGTAGATTCTCAGCAAAAGAAAAGGGTCACATAAAGATAGTTAAAAGAAAGCATATACACAGAAGTTTAACTTAACCGACTACTAGATTAGACGTCCAGACACACAGTGGCTTGATAGTCATAAAATGTAGAGAAAACAACAGTTATAAAAAAATGAATGCCTGTTTTTGATAAAATTGCTTGGCAAAATGTATTAAGAACAAGGGACATTTTCAGTTAATTGTGTTTTATCCACTTTATCTTTGTCTGCGTTGTATTATGAATACTAAATAATGAATGCCGTAATATAAAGAAAGTAGAAATGAATTCTGTACAACTCTTTCGAAATATGGTCAAAAACCTCATAAAAGTTGTTAGCCGAAAAGATCGTTATTGTTCTCATGCAACATTTACAATAGCTGACTCACGGTATTGCAGGACTCACAAATGTGATATGTCTTAGTAAGTGTGGAATCGTTCTCTGAATCTAACAGTGGTAAAATATAAACCTAACAACATTTTGAACTGCTGCACAAATGTTGCCTCCATCACATGTTCAGGTAAATCGTTCTAAATATTTACCATTCTCCGTTCAAAGCACAATGGGTGGGGAACACGTCTCACATGCTGCACAAGTTTGTATTTGTGTCCGCGTGTGTTGCATGGCCCTCGTAAGTGCAGCATTGGCCTCAGCATGGGTAATTCACCGAGATGTAGGATACGGTAGGTCATAATGAGGTCGACTCGCACCCGACGGTAGGACAAGGTGTAGAGTCCCAGTTTCTCGCACCGGTCTTCATACTCCAAGCCACGTAAACTCGTGATGAGCGTGGTGGCAACGTGTTGAACCCGTTCGATCTTTTTTGTCCCGCCTCGGATAATCAAAATGTAGGCGGTCGAGCCATACTCTAGCATTAGAATAATGATGGAGGAGAAGAGGTGATTGGCAACCTCTTCAGACCATGTGCCGAAGCTACGTCTGAGCGCCCAAAGCATGCGCAGTCCGTTATGATATAGCCTGTTGGTGTCGTTCTTGGACTTCAAATCATAGCGTGAGAGTACACTTAGCTCTTTCAGGGAGGATAAGCGTATAGTGGTTGGCCGCCAAGGGAGTAGGTTCGGCCGTCAGCACCCTTCCCCAGGCTCATAAATACAGACTTGGGTGGGTTGAAAGGTAGAAGAACTTCTGCAGACCATGTGGATAGGCGGTTGAGGTCTTGCTGTAGTACGCAACAGTCGTCGGGAGAGACAATATCTCTCCAAATCTTTACGTCGTCCGCAAACTAGGCACACGGCGACCGGAGAAGCTATGGTAGATCGTTGATGTCGATCAGGAACAGAGTGGACCCCAGCTAGGTGCCTTGAGGCACGCAACTTGTAGTGGGATACAAGTCAATCAGATGATAGTCGAACTGTACCCACCAGTTTCGTCTAACAAGAAAGTCGCGCATCTTCCGGTGCAGTGAGCCATCTACATCACACATTCGGAGTTTGGGAAGGCGGACATCATGGCTGACCTTGTCGAACGTGTTACTGAAATCGACGTATATCATATCGACAGACTTTTCCTTGCTTATTGCTTTCAACCGCTCATGCCTCATCCCAAAATTGTTTGTAATGCGTGAGCGACCTTGCATAAATCCGTGCTAGGCAGGCGTCGGGACTTCTTTTGACTAGAGCGAATGTAGTAATCCCTACTTCACGATTTTCTCAGCAACGTTTGCCAAAATAGGCATCACACTAGTTAGCCCTTATTAGTTTACTTTGCTACGGTAACCGCCTTTCGGAATAAGCCTTACCACCGAACACTTCCAGTCAATCGGCAACGTACGTTTAGACAGATACCTGTAGAAAAGTCAGTCATGACAGGAGAGCTGATGGTCGGAAGTGACTTGAGAACCAATGAGTAAAGCCCATCAAGTCCAGCTAGTTTAATGCCGTTAATGTTGACGAGTAGTTGACATACCACTTCAACACCGCAAGTCAGACTATCGAGTACGTTCAAAACGGTACACATGGAACTCGAAACAGACAACTGGCCATTGGAAAATACAGAAGCGAAGTGCGCCGCCAACGCGAAAGCACGCTCAGTGCTGGAGGTTAGGGGCTGTCCATCCGGGCCATCCAGCACTGGCACATCACCTGCCGGCTTCAGGAGTCGCTTCACGTAAGCGAAGATTCTCTTCGGGGCGGTCTACGCAGCGATTGCAAGCTGCTCTTCAAAATGTTGGTGCTTATTCATTTTTGCACCGTTACATGTGTTGCACTAACTTTATACCCTTCGTAGTCATTGGCGGAGCCAGAGAGGAGGAATTTGTCCCACAGCCTGCGCCGCCTCCGAGCCAGATTTTCATACTCCTTGTCAAACCAATGGGGCTTGATTTGTCCAGCCTTCGGACTTTGCAAAGACACGACATGAGAACACGATTATGTCCATCTCCTTTTTTTAAAATCCAACAGTATTCCACAGATGCAGCTTGTGACATTGACCAATCCGGTTGGCTCCCGGCTCGAGCTAGACAGTCGAAGTCTGTTTTCCAGTAGTTGTAACTTGGTCCCAGGGGCAAATGTAATTCCCTATAAAATATGAGCACTGAATGTTTGCTTGTAGCCAGGAGCTCCAGGATCCGAACGTCGCGCACTCGTTGTTCGTAGCTCGTTAATACCATGCAGAGATAGGAGGGGGTGGAGCATATTGTTACGCGTGTTGGCTAACACATGTGTTGCGATGCACCAGTTTCATGTGCAAACCCACGAATTTTGCTTCAACCTCCCTATGTCCAGGAATCAAATACACATCAGGCCATGGTATTCGAGGACAGTTAAAATAGCCCATAAGTGGAAAGTGTGGAGGACTCATGTGGGATTCGAATAATGGGCAGCCAATCCAAACAACAACTCATCGGCTGCGATAAACTGCGCCAACAAGTAGTTCTCCTAGCCTGAGGCGGATGGAGCACCACAGTAGCTCACACAAACCCTCGTCAGTTCGGTAGGCACTCACAAATCTTCCATACAGGGAAGACTGGATTTAAAGCAAAACACCATCAAGGGGAGCCTATAACTTATCGAGTAAGTGTCAAGTCCAAGTGCATGAGTATATAATTGAATTCAGCCATGTCTCAGCGAATCCCACTACGTCTGGTCGCTCAGACGCAACGAAAAACATAGCTCATCGCGCTTGTTCATGACACTGCAAATGTTTGTGAAGGCTACTTGCAGGTCTCAGCAGGATTCGCCGGGCGTGCCTGAAGTATGAGCAGCCTGTTTATCCTGATGCACAGATTGTTGGAAAATACCCGAACATTTACGATACGAGGATTTGTTACCCCCTCAGCAGCAGGTCTTTTCTGCTCAATGATGACAAACTTAATCCGCTCACTGTCTCCTGGGTCCAGGTCTGGACGAACATGGCTCTTCAAACCTTTCAGCATACTAAGGCGGGATATAATCATTCTTGGATTGGCTTCGTTCACCTTATTGATTCTCATAGGCCGATTTTATTCATCGCCTTACTTGCCAAGACAGCTACTTTGCCTCATTTTTTCCGAGTCCTCACCAGCGTCGTGGAGTCTGTCAAGTTGACTCTTTAAAATCTCAACGTTGTGATCGTAGCACACTTGGGGGAATGGATGACTGGACTCCTGCTCGTGTAATATCATTGGGTTATAACGTCTCTGGTCGGAGGAGGTTGGGCTTGCCGGGCGAAGCATATTACCAACCTCACGTGGTCTGGCTAACTGTGGACTTAGAGAAATTAAACGCCTAAAAGCTCTGCTTAATTTTGTTCTCTGTTCTGTCCACTGGTCTTCCGCACTCAGACATTCCCCTGCTGGGATCTCAGTGCCCGTTGGACACAACAAAGGCAAACAATCTACGCCAGGTGAAACTGGGCTTCCCACAGCGGTTGGAGTTCGTACGACGGAGTTTGCACTGGAAGAGGAGAAAGACTGAGCTGAATTCTGATGGATCTTCGGGCTAGTTTGTTGGGCCCAACACACGGAGCCGCTTCGTATTTTCTAAGGTCTTCTGCCTATATTTTCGGCGCACATTATGTTAAATAAATACTGAAGGTATTTGTGTCGGTTGCGGAAATGTTGTTTACGTATCGTTAAGTCAATTTACGTCAGAGGCAAATTAAACGTTTTAAAACCGAGCCAGGGGCAATTTCAACACTTAACTCCATAACTGTATATGGTAAGGTATAGGCAATTAACATTGAAATATGTCTATCAAATGCTTATACATGTCATTCAAGTAAACAATTTTTGCATCGTACTAATAGTTTTGGTTAGGTCAACAAACAAGCGGAACAGGTACGGTAGAAAGGAACTG